TTGAATAGTTGAATAGTTGAATAGTTGAATAGTTGAAACTTCAACTATTCAATTATTGAATAGTTGAATAGTTGAATAGTTGAAACTTCAATTATTCAATTATTGAATAGTTGAATAGTTGAATAGTTGAAACTTCAACTATTCAATAATTGAATAGTTGAACTAATAGTTGAATAGTTGAATTCAACTTTCAAGTTTGACACTACTGGAAATTTGCAAATCCATCTAATCGAACCGGATATGTCAGCATTCCAATTAGACATTATTCGAGAAGTAAGACCAGATAAAATAGTGATTGTACCAGCTATCGAAGAAGCAAGAAAGATTATAGCACACGTATTTGAACGAAGAGGTCGTTGAGATAAAATTAGAATATTGAGAATATTTCCCACAATACCAAAGAAAAAGATCAAAGTTCCAAAATAAAAGTTTATTTGAGAGACAATACTCTTTAAATATATAATAAGTTCAGCGTCCGATGTCGATGATGATGACATTTAGTTGTTTCATGAACAATGAGATTAGAAAACATGCCCTTTATCTTTCATATAGAGATAAATAGTGTTTCTACTATATATAGATATGTAGAATCCTAGAAACAGTCATTATTAAAAGACAAAAAAATAAAATATAATTAAGATAGCAGACATTTTTTTTGTTTTTCTGCAGAAAATTGCAACTTATATGGTTGCATTTTTATGTCATATAACGTAGTCTGCTAGGGTTTTAATTTTTCTGCCTCACTAAATCAAAAATTAATTTGATGATTCCACGTTGACAGATTTACTTGTACATGTCTAGAACACAAATAATATTAAAAAAAACAAGAAAAATCATACTAATTACTTTCATAACTAATATAAATTCAGTAAAGATATCTAGCAGAAACTCTTTTTAGTGAAAACAAAAAAAAAAGATGAATTAAACAGAAAATAAAACTACTTTCATCAAGAAGAACTCTTGAGATTGGAACAATCTTGTAGGCTTTTGTTTTTAAAAACTTTTAAACCTCTTCACTCAATAAAAGACGATGGATCTTCTATTATTTTTTTTAAGAGCACAATCTTTATCGAGAGATCTTCTATTATGAGGAGTCTTCTAATGTAATTTCCTACATATAAAGAACTCAATATTTTTTATAATTTTTTAGTTTGTTCACTATAATTATGTTTCAAATAGAAAGTAAACATACGAAAGAAATAAAAATAAAAATGAATTACAATTATATTTTACTTTTTCATAAACTGATTTTAAATTGTGTTCTTTCGTTTGTTTACTGTTAATGACGTTTAATAAATGTAAGTTCATATTTTCTTTTCATTATATTCTTCATTGTCATTATCATTGATTATCAAAGAAGCTAGTATTGATTGATCAAAATGAATTTTACTAAAGTATCGGAGTTTATTAAGGCAATAAAAACTTATTTCAAATCTTAGCCATTCAATAGAATATACATCTATTTATATATTGAAACGATATTAAAATATAATCCTTCGTATAAAAAGAAGGAAATGTCATTTTTACTCGAGCTTTTGTCATGAATGAACGTTCTCAAAAATAAAAAAGAAATAAACGAAACTTTTTTTTTTGCTTTTCTAAGTCTTTGTTTTCCATTTGTCCAGTTAATTTGATTTTCATGAAGTTTTTGATTATATTGTTTTTTTTAAATTTTAAGTCAACAGATAATTTTACAAAAAAATCCGATTTCAGGACTTTCCCTTCGTGTGATTGTCTGTTTTGGATAACTTCTCTCTTCGAATGCTAATTTACTATAAACTATTGCAACAGCATCACGCATATCTATATCATCAACATATTCTCCGCTGTGAACAACATCTAGTTTTTTTTTCTGTGAATCAATCAGATGGTGGTTTTTATTTATTTTGATTCAGAATATCGAAAATAGTCTCACATTTCATTAACAAATACGAAGATCAACATTTTCAATCGATTATGCATAATTTCCTGCAAATAAAAGTTACACACATACTGTTTAGTTAAAGTTGAAGTTTCAAATGAAATACGCAATAACATATTTAATATTTTCATAAAATTTTTTTATTGTAGATTTTATTGAAAAAAAAAATTATTATTAAAACTGATAACTGTAAAACAGAAAGTTCGATCAAATAAGAGATAGTTTCACCTCATTGTTTTTAACGATGTTAATAAATGACAGAATACTTGATGTTCGCCAGTCTTTTAAATGACATTGTCTAGACAAGAAGTTTTGTAGCAGAATATTAATATAAAATTTGAAGCATTAACTTCACATAATTCAAGTCGTTGTCAGCATCAAATTTCTATAATCGTAAATAGCTGTTGCGAAGAAAATGAAGAATGTGATGAAACAAACACCTCCGCTGGCCATTTTGTATGACTGTTCTTCAGTTGATGATCAAGGAACATTTAAATAACCAGCGGTTAATTTTCAGATAAAAACGGTCGTAATAAAAGCCATTGTCTTCTTCCATCTAATAAGCCAAAATTTTCTTCAGTAATATTTTCTTTCGTCATTGTCCATAAACCTAGTAAAGAAATTGAAACCTTTACAAATCTCATCAAGTTTAATTTAAAAAAATCTATAGAACTGTTTCAATCTTTACCGATTATCAAAAGAAACTGAATTTTTTGTGAAATTAATGTATATTGATTATTTTTAACATGTAAAACTAGTGATTTGTTCAAAGGATTAATTCATTTTTGTTTTAAAACCGTTAGTTTTCTTTAACAAAAGAAGCTAAATCTTTTGTACTTAATTTATATCAAATCTATTTCAAATTTAAAACAAATCATTTGTTTTGCATAGATTATGAAATAAGATTTCAGTAAATTTTTTAGAAATTTTCACGAGAAGAAAACAAACTTTGTAAGACTTGATATCGATCGATTCTATGAAGAATATAATAACGTTTCAATTATATATAGAAGTCACGAATTTTCGTATGATTATCGAGTTGAGTCAATATACTTTTGCAATTCTTTCGTTTTCTTTTCTATCTATAAAGAACGTCAACGGCAAGCTTTTCATTAAATAATATCCAGCGCCTAACTTTTATGCAAAAGAACTTAACTAGGTTATACATAAAAAACAAAATAACATAACGACCCGAGACTAATCAACCAAATAAGAATAGTGACATCAACTATTTTATTTTGTCCAGCATCGCACAATACCGCAAAAAAAACATAATATTTTTGTAAACAAAAATCTAATCTTTAAATTGTTTACAGGCAAAAATTATTTATAATCATTTAGATTAAAAGCCTCATTGCATTTCAAAGATGCTAAAATAGAAATCATTAGCTTCTGTGAAACTTGAAAATTTCGATCTCATCGAAAATTACATTGAAACAGCACACGTTCATCTGGTACTGTTATGGCAGGCATACATTCTTTCTTCAGTAACCGCATTAACAGATGGATATTTTTCTTTTCTCATAGATTCCTTAAATAGCAGTTACCACAGCTTTCTCTATATTGAAATCAGTAGTATCAATAAATTATAGATAACAAATATAACAATTTGAGACTACATGAGTCTAATACATATTCATTATTGCTTGCATGGACAAGGTTACTAATTATTTTTCTTGTATATCCAGTATCTATGTGCATCATTGTTTCTTTGATAATAAGAGCAACAAAAAGACAAAGCAGAAGGAGAGCGGGAGAGAAAGAAATTCTATTGTATCTATTGTTTAATAGTTCTTGAAAATGGGAAAGAAAACTGCTGCAATCATTGTTTTATTTTTTCTAAATTGACGAAATTAAAACCATATGCTTTCCAAATAATAGTTTTACAATTTATTTGTACATTAAATAATTGAATAATGAACCTGAAAAGTAAGAAAATAAAATTATATATGAGGTGGATTGAGTGTCGTGTAATAATTTCATTCATTTGGCTGAATCAGTGAAAACATGTTCTCTATATTTTTTTAAAAAGTAAATCTTAAAAGTGATAAATACGACTGGTGTTCCTTGAGTAATTTTTTCAACAGAAAAAAACTTGACTGTAATCATCGGTAGTATCAGCAATCAAAGATGACATCTATTGATAGAACAACTTATTTTGTTATTACTATAATAGCCAATCAAGATCAACATAACATAACCTGTGCAAGCACTCAATAATTCTCGTTCGAAATAAATCAAATAGTTCTATCTTGTTAAGTTTCAACAAAAATAGCAATAACTAGAGAAAAATATGAATATAAGCAGAAGATTGATAATTGATACAACTTAAGTTATTCATAGTTTCATCTTTATAAGCATATTTTATGTTTTTTTTTTTATTGATTCTAGATAAATGCTTCGTCTCGTTGCCACACGTATTATATCTACTGGTAAAATACAAATAAAGTTGCCAGGATGTTTATCTTATTCATCTCGTCGTTTTCTACAAAATTCTACATCTCAATCGAATGATCATCTTGTTACATCAACAATTTCATCAGTTGATACAAACAAAAGTGAAGAATCTAGTCAAAAGAAGTATGTTTCTTTAACTACGAATAAAGTTTTCATTGAAGGTCTCATGTATATTTTATTAACCAAGATTTATCGTTTTTTGTTTTAGTAAATCAGCATCTCTACCAAAAATTTATACGCGTAAAGGCGATCGAGGTACATCATCTCTTTTAAGTTCTGGTACAAATCGTTTATCAAAAGATTCATTAGTATTTAATGTACTTGGTACTATTGATGAACTATCATCAACAATTGGTATTGTTATTTCAACATGTTCTTTCCCTTCAATATCAAAACAATTAGAAAACATTCAATGTGCTCTATTTGAAATTGGTTCATGTGTAGCTGCTGAAAATCGTTCATCTCGTTTTACATTCAATAATATTACATTAATAAAACAATTAGAAGAAGAAATTGATAAAATGACAGATGAATTACCACCATTACGTAATTTTATTTTACCTGGTGGTTCTAGTCAAACAGCATCATATGTTCATTTTTCAAGAGCAGTCTGTCGTAGATGTGAACGTTTATTAACAAAATGGTCGAACAATCAAATTGAAGAACAACAAGAAACAGTGATGAAAATTTATTTAAATAGACTTAGTGATTATTTATTTACATTAGGACGATATATAACATTTAAAGAAGGACATAAAGAAATCTTATATCATAAAAGCAAATAAATAAATAAATAAATTCTTTCTTTTATTTTAGATGTCATCTTTAGGTTTATTTGTATCTCGACTACATATTCCTCTCATTCGTCGTTATTTAGCGACACAAACATCAAATATTAAACCACGAAATGATTTACCTTCGAATTTACAACAATCAAATGATCCAACAGTAATGCCATTACTTAATCCAAATGAATTATCAGAAACTGAACAAATATATATAAAACGATTTGAAGAACGACATATGAGAAATGTTGAAAGACGTACACGAGAACGACGACGAGCACGATTTATTGGATTATCATTTGGAGCTTTAGTTATTGCTATTTATATTTATACAATTAAACGTGTTCGACAAGAAACATTTTTGGATGATTTTGAAGTACCTGAACCACCACCACAAAAGAAAGCTACTGAACATGATTAAATTCTTCTTGTTTTTTTATTAAAGTTTTTTTTTTTTCATTCGAAATAAAATTTAGTTAACGTCCGTTAAATTTTTTTTTTTTACTTTTATCTTTTTTCAATATATGATTTTGCAACAATTGATAAAATTATATCTATGAGAATGTTAGTTTTATTAATCTGAAACAATCTTTTGTCTCAGTGATAAAAACTTCTTTTTTTTTGTTTTAATAAATAATACAATTACTAAAGTTACAACACATGAGTAAAACAAAATACTGTTTAAAAGGTTATTAAAGAGTTTATATTAACTATAATAACAACTGATATTTCATTTCGATAGGATAACCATAATTGAAATTAAATGACGTTAATCAATGAACTTTTACAGTTTTATTTATGATCCTGTTATGAATATTGTTTTGTATTGATATTTTAAATTAATAAATGAAAAATATAAATTGAATTAAAAGCATCGTTTATCACTGATCTAAAATTTTTATGATAGATGCTATTCTGTGTTTTAGTCAAAGCACAATATTTAACTTGATCGACGAAATTTCCATTGAGAACTAAAAATTATTAAAAAAAAATTGTTGTGAAAGAAAACTTAACTATACCAAAGAATTTCTTTATTTTTTAGATTGTATCAATTATAATGTTTCAGTTAACATTATGCATATTGAAACCAGATATAGTTCGAACACCTCATCTGTTTAATGTATGTGTAAAATGAGGTAATTTTTTGTGTTTATTATGATATTTTTTGTTACGAATAATATTTTTCTATTAGGAAATAATTAAATTGATACTTCAACGTCAATTTATTTTTATTAAAAGTAAACATTTACAATTAAGTCGTGAACGAGCTGGAGAATTTTATCGTGAACATCAAGGTTAGTTTCGAATTATTTTAATATTCGATTTTAATTTTATCTATTTTATTTAGAAAAATTTTTCTATAGTCGACTTGTTCATTATATGAGTTGGTATGTTCGTTTGTTGATTTTATATTAAATTCATAAATTTTTTTTTTTCTTTTATTAATTTAGTGGACCCATATCATGTCATATACTTGGAAGAGAAAATGCTATACAAGAATGGAGATCAATGCTTGGCCCAACAAAAATATACAAGTAATAATTCTGTATTAAATGAATGAACTATTTTTTTTTGTTTTGTAGAACAATATTTGAAGCAGCAAATACGATAAGAGGTCAACATGGTGTAACTGATACAAGAAATTGTGGCCATGGATCAGGTATAAATATAATCTATTCGATTTTATAAAATTATTTTATGTATGAAATAGATTCTATTGAAACAGCTCAACGTGAAATAAATTTTTTCTTTCCTGAATTTGACATGAAAACAATATCAAAATATGAAAATATTTCAGTGAAAAAATTGATATTTAACCAAGACACTCTGGAACATCAATTATAGTGTTGTTGTATTTGATTAATATAAAAAAAAAAAAAAGAAAACAAAATTTTCTTTATTTTAATTAAATAATCTATTCTATTAATTCAATCAGGATATTGTTTCAAAACATGGATAAGGGTGAGAGTATTAGTCTTCTCTTTATGCCCATTCACATCAATATTCATTGTCTTAACTCATACTTTAGCTTGTTTAATTGTTCGATACTTATTGTTTGCTAAACCTACAAACACGATATTCTTGTTCATTATATGGCTGAATTTTTGTTGTTATATCATCAGAAAAATCGTAGAAAAGAAAAGCGAAAAAGACTTTTTTGTTTACTTAATCATAAAATTTTCAATTTAATTTTTTCGATGACAATTAAATCAACATTCGAGAAATTCCTTCTATGTAATGAAAACACTATATTTTTCTATGTATGGTCAAAAGAATAATATATAATATCATAGAAACAAGAATAAAAACATAAAGAATGATTAACAACTTCATGAATATAATACTGAAAATATCGGTTCTATTTTTCTTATGTGAAATTCACTAAACTATGTTGTCGTTTAAAAACATCAACATCATATTACATTTTATTTTTTAATCTCTCGCCATTCTCTAAAACATCGCATATTAAACTTTAAGATCTATTCGTATTTGTATTATGTGAATTTCAAAGTCAATTAATAGTTTTCAGAATAATTCCTTTAATTATATTTTTAAAGAGGTAAAGTATTAACATAACAGTCTACTCTCCTTTATGAATCTGTAAATATATTTTTCTTTGTATATTTATCTCTTTGATCATGTATTATTAAACATTCGTATTTGTATATTCTTCGAAAATTTTCATTTTTAAATGTATCTTACAAAATACATATTAAAAATAGATTCTTTTGAGATAATATTTTGAATTTATTTGATTCCTTCAGTTAAATTCAAATTGACCAAATAAAAATACTCATTGTTTTTTTCTCTATAACTTCTTTTTTTATTCTACTCGTTCATTCTTATATATTATTATGCAACGAAGCAAGTAGGTTTTTGCGTTTCTTTCAACACGATGCGATACACGTGTTGTCTACTTACATAACCTATGCGACATATGCGGGATCATTATAGTTATTTTACACTTGATGACAAAAGAACATTTTATTGAACTTTTAGATAGAATGATTTTTAGTTTGTCAAGTCTTGTTTTCAGATCATTTTTTTCTTCTTTTGGTACAATGGCTTCAGCTGTGCCAGCTCAAACTCCAAATATTGCAAAACATCTTGATAAAAATGAACTTTATCAAATTGGTCCTAATTTTTGGAATGTTCGTGGTCGTTTTAAAATTTTAAAATTAATTGATATTGGAACACAAATGTCAATAATAAAATTACGTAATGGAAAATTTCTTGTTATTGATACAGTTGAAATGAATGATCGTCTTCAACAAGAAATTGATCATTTAACTAATAATGGAGAAAATATTGAAGCTGTTATTGGTACACATCCATTTCATACATTATCATTTTCAGCTTTTTATCAAACATATCCAAAAGCATCTTATTATGGAACACCAAGACATTTGCGTCAATTAACAGATATACCATGGCGAGGAGATCTTAGTGATTGTAATATTAGAAAAAAATGGGAACCAGATATTGAAATGCGTATTCCAGCAGGTTTTTATTAGAACAATAATTATTCTTCAAATGAAAATAATTTATCATTTTAATCATAGGAGCTGAATTTGTCAATCCACAACCTGAATCAACAAATCATTTTGTTAGTGTTTTTGTTTATCATCCAGCATCTCGTACTCTTCACGTTGATGATACAATAATGTATGCTGAAAAACCTGGTTTTTTACTTAAATTATTTGGTTATAAAGATGGTGCACTGGCATTTCATCCATCAATTAAAAATTCTGGTCTTTATCCAACAAGTGATGCACCATATTTATTTCGTGATTGGATGCGTAAATTACTCAAAGATTGGCCTTTTGAAAATATTTGTTGTGCACATTTGGGTGTTAAAATGGGTGGTGCACATGTTGATGTTACTACATTACTTAATAATGCTGAATCATTATTTGTTAAACTTAGTGAAAAAAATCGAAAAAAAAATCCCGGAGATGCAATACCACCTGATAATCATCCAAATATGAATGTTAGTGATAATGAATGTGGATAGTTATACGTATTTCTAGTGTTTTTTTTTTCTAATACAAGCTATTTGTATGTTGCTTTTATTTTAATGACACTAAATATTTAATTTTGCATATCTCTAATATTTATATTTGACTCAAAGAAATAGAGATAGTACTTATGAAAAATATATGATAATTAATAAGCACAAATAGATGATGTATCTGTTTGTTATATGTAATATATGATACAGTCAAGATAACAAAAGATTTTCATAAAAAAGAAAACATGTATGAAGCCATATTTCAATTCATAGTGACTGAACGACAATAATACAAGTAAACAATATCAGAACTTTTGATTCATCTTCGAACTATTACCTTTTATACTAATGAGGAAAGTCTTTCAAGTATCAAGCGTGAACATCGTGACTTATAATGGTCACGGTCACGACCATGACCGTAAATGATTTTTTTTCAAGTTCATAACCATGATCTTGATTGAAATATACTCAAGTATACTGAAATCGTCACATATTCTATGTTTGTATTAACTACATTAGATTTTCCACTACACAAAGAATATAAATATTCTTTACTTACTTCGATAATTTATTCATTTTATTTTTCTCAATCAGAATAACTATAAATAAAAATGACAAAACATAATATAAGTACATAGTTTTTTTGTTACAATTATACTTAAATAAGAACATGCATATGTTACTATTCCTTTCAAATAGATGAAATTAATTAAAAACAGTTTTCTTCTTTATTATGTTTTTTGTCTTTTTTGAATTATTACCAAAGTAAGATATATAATTCTTCTCTAATCGCTTCGAAATTGTAACTGAAATATATTTCTTGATAATTAATTGTATTAAATTCAACTTTTCAAAAAGTTTTTAAACTACAGTTCAGATGTTCATTATTTACTAATAAAAATTCGTTTCCTTTTCTCTTTCTACAACAACATATTTTTCTCGCTTTGACCCCAATGGAACTAATCAGAGCTGAACACTTGACAGGACGTAGCCAGAGAGCAGAAAATGAAAGAAAAAGTTGTCCTATGCTGATTTGTACTTTAGGGTTTGATAAATCAAAATTAATATGCAATCAATTATTATAGAAGAAAAAAAAACAATACGCTATTTAATAAAAATATAGTTTTTGTTTTACATTAATTTCTTTTTCTTTGCCTAATTTTTATCATCAAGTACTTTTTCATTGTTTTATTTAATTTATTAATTGCATCTACTGTGTGTTAATATAAAAATGATAAAAAAAACATTACAATTTTATATAATTTTTATACTTATTTATTTCCTAGGATGAACATATCATTAAAATAATAGTTCAGGATACGTCTATATCTTTTTCTGTATTTACAATATTATTTATTAATGAAAGTCTAATTTTCTCTATTTAAAAATCATTTTCAATAAATTAGCTAGAAGATCATCGATAAATTAATATGTACTTTGTTAATCGAAAATCCAAATGAGAATTCTTACTGTCCTGCGCCTATCTCTTATTGCTATTGATATACTGCATTTTTTAGGGTATTTTTAAGCTAACGTCGTAATCTTTGCCAGAGACACTAGCAAAAACTCATTTTCGGATTTCGGGTTGAATCTTTCTATAGAAGCAAAGTTTAATATGAAAGTTTAAGATCATTTCGTTGTACCTATCGTAAGATATAGTTATGATAAAAGCTTTCATAAAAAGATTTATCACTTTTTTTTTGAATATGACATTTATGAACATTGATCTTGATATTTCTTTTTTCGTTTTTTTTTAATAGCATAGATGCTTAGTCGAAAAGATTTGACAGAAATTAAATTATTATTTGAAAAATTGATTTTTAAATATATTTACAAGATCTGCTATAAGCAGAAAATAATCATTCATATGTTATATTATATCTTGTTTCTGTTGACATTCATATAGAAGACTTAAACATTCGAAATCATATAGTTAAATGAATTTTTCTCGGCTCATTATATTATTGAAGATTTCTCATATACACATCTATATTGGATAATAAGGCAAATGCATATCTGGCACAGAATCCAAATCATACCATGTACAATATCACAATACACAAATAAAGACTTAACTAAATTAAGAAAAAACTATTCAAACAGTCAGATCTAAGAAATTTCATCTACGACCAATATCGAAATCTATATGTAATTGTTTTCTCAAAAACTACGAAAATATTCAAGAATGAAAGATTCAGAATAGCACAATATATAAATGAGAAAGATTTTTTCACATCATGAAAAATTACCGATAAACATCAAAAACTTGCTAGTAAAAACATTATCCATTTTACTTGATCAGAAAACTAACTCAATTTTGCATGATATCTTCTGATCTCAACCAATATCGGTTTCTTCAAAAACTGTTTTTTCACATCTCAAATAAAAATATCTATAAATAATCTAAGATCTTTGAATAAATCAATTGCAATCTTGTTGATTTCCTCTTCAACTTTACTATCTTTCCACATAATTCTAAAATTGATCTCCTATTGGTACTCAGAACTAGCCGAGCAAAAAAGTGAACGACACAAATGTACATATAACACATTCTAATCAAAATATATCTTGCATTCAAACTCAATTAAAAACTACTTCTAACAGACATAACATACAAATAGACCATGCTCATTTATCTAACTACATGATTCATCAAAAAGCTACCGCTCGAAACTTGCATGATCGGTTCGATTACCCGCTATTCCCACCACAGAAAATCTAATCTAGTTCTTGCTGTGCCATTTTGTTCAGAAAGGGGAAAAAAAGGTATCCATTCAGAGCCTAACACGAACACCAATTCCATAAGGATAACGGTGACGTAAACGGCCGTGAGCGGCATAAAAATGACGGAAAACGGTGCCGTTTTCAGTAAGCTCGTAAAACGGTGAAAATAGTGTGAAAAACGATAGCCGTTTTATAGCGAAAAAAAACGGTTTGTCAAACACACTGACGAGTTTCGGCAAAATAAGTTGAAAATCAATGCCTTAATACGCCGTTTTATAGCCCTTTCAGGCTTTTAAAGGTGTGAGTGTGAGTGCGGATGTAGGCGTAGATGTAGGTGAGGGTGCGAGTGTAGTCTGTGTGTTAATAAGGAGAAGACCGACACTCAAGCCCACATACTCACACCCACACCCGTGTTGCTTATTTTCATTTATGTGTCGAACATCGTAGCATCTTGAATAAATATGCTGCTTGAATTAATAGAAAAAAAAACTCAAGTGTTTTTTTATTCAATTTAATGATGCACGAACGAATTTAGAGAGTATTAGACATGGATAAATGGTTAATTTCCTACTTGAAAAATATAAATTTCTGTTTCTGTTCTTCCTAACAGTATTATTTTGGTTGATCCTACTTTTTAGCAATGCTCTCAATAATTTGTATGTCTTCTTGCGATTTCTTCGTTTATATCCCAATGCATATATAAGAATAAAGTTGCATAAAAAGGAACATATCTTATAGTTGAGATATAGTTAAGTTCCCTTTTTTTTTAGATTTTCATACTCAACAACTTTTGTTGAAGAATGTCAATTCTACAACTGGACGTACCACATATCAGCAGAGTAAGTAGAAATAAATATTTCTTTTTTAAATTTTCATAGGAATATAATTTTTTAAATATTAGTTTTATATACGAAAAAATATATTTGTTTGTTTGTTTTTATCCTTTACAGCAACGAAGACCGAGTCAAGTAGCTATAGCACAATTTAAAGATTTAACAAAACGAGATGCATTGACACGACTTCAAAAATCTTTAAATGAACTAGTGGCAACTGCTAAACCTCATTCACAAAAAGTTTGTTTTTTATATTATTAATATTGATAATTTAATATTTTTTTGTATATTAATTAATTTAAAAGCATGTTCAATCGGAACTTGATGGTTATGAAGATTTATTTAGTCGTTATTTACGCGAGAATGATGAATCATCAATTGATTGGCAAGAAATTTTACCACCACCAAAAGAAACAGTATGATCAAATTTTATATATTTATTTCTTATAATTTTTTGTTAATTTAAGATAATTCCATATAAAAAATTACTTGAATCCGATCTTGGTAATCCAAAAGATTTATTAAATAAATTAATTGTTGTTAAACTTAATGGTGGTCTTGGTACAACAATGGGTTGTAAAGGACCTAAAAGTGTTATTTCTGTACGAAGTGATCTTACTTTTCTTGATATAACATTGCAACAACTTGAAGTAACAGTTTAAAAACAAATAATAATTCAAGATTTCTTTTTTTCTTCTTTTTATTTAAAAGCAACTCAATCATACATATGGTTGTGATGTACCATTGGTTTTAATGAATTCATTTAATACTTTTGAAGAAACAGAAAAAGTTCTTCAAAAATATGGTCATGTTTCTGTTAAAATTTATAATTTTAATCAATCAAAGTTAGTTTTCATACGAATTTTATTAAACTATACAGTAGTTCAACATAGAACTTTTCTCATAAGATAGACAAACGTTTCAGTATCCAATAAACGACATTTTACTGGTTTCAAATCACATCGATCACATTCCTTATTTTATGATACTAAACTGTATAATGACTTTATATAACATATCTATTATAGAAGAACTAAGTATTCAGAAAAATGATGATGTATCAAAGTTGACTTCTTATTGATTTCAATTAGTTATGAAAATAGTATCGAGTCTGATAAGACTCATACGATGTTAGATGACACAGATATTATAAGATCCGCTTAGTGGATATCAATTCTTTCTATATAAAATAAATGATGCCATATGCTCTTGTATATACTTGGAAAGTTAACACTCGATACCCATGTAAAAAAAAAAGAACTTCTTCTATAATCATACGATTTTCAATCAAAAATTAAAGAAGAAATAATCAGAAAATCATCATTAAATTGACCGAAATAATCGATTTGATGATGCTTTCTTCTGATTACTGAAGAAAATTCTTTTACATGGATAAATAAATATTTTCAATATAGTGAACTATACAAAAATATCATGAGTTCATCA